AGGAAGGAGGAGGAGGGTGGGGAGGAGGGAGAAGGAGGAGGAGGAGGAGCAGGAGGATGAGGCGGAGCAGGAGGAGGAGGAGAAGAGGAGGGGGAGGCCGAGCAGGGGACGTAACTAGCTAGGAAGAAGTGGGAGGGAGCCAGCTCCAGCGCAGCGGGGACCGGCCCCTCGGAGATGTCGCTTGGCGCGCGTTTTGGCAGGGCTGGAAGGCTTCGCGCGGACGGCCCCCAGATCCCACGTGGGCCTGGCGACTCTGCCCGCCTGCGAGACTGGGGCTCACAGTCCGGATCCATTTCGCTCCGATCGATATCGATTCGGTATCGATTCCGGCTGGCCCGATCCGATTCTGTTCAGGCTTGCGACGATCCGATGCGACCAGATGCTTGCGTGGGCGCCGCTGTGATCAGTGCCGACGCAGAGGACGAGGAGGAGGAGGAGGATGAGGAGGTGACGAAGAGGGGGTGAAGGACGAGGAGGTGGAGTCGGAGACGGACGACGACGACAAGGATGAGTCGGAGGATGAGCAGGAGGAAGAGGAGGAAAAGGAGGAGGAGGGGGAGGAGGAGGAGTAGGAGGGGACGGAGGATGGGAAGGGCAACGTCCATGAAGCGGGGGATGAGCTGGAGGGAGGTGACGAGAGGGAGGGGAGGGAGGATGCTGATGACGACGACTAAGGTAAGCAGGAGCAGGATCCTCCTCCCGCCCGCCTCCCCCCCCCGGGTCCTGGATCGATGTTTGATGGTCGTGAGCCTGGGACGGGATCCTCGACCTCCCTGCCGCTGCGCCCACCTCGCTGAATCGACCCCCTCTTCGATCCTTCTCCTCAAGCCCACCTCCCTGGATCGCCTCGATTCTCGATCCTCGAAAAAGTTCTCCTCGACCCTGAAAGAGGAGACCATATCTATACTGAAAGCCAATCCCCGATCCTCAAAAAGTTCATCGAGACCCTCGATCCCCAGAACAAGATGCCCGATCACCAGCACAAAGGTCTTTGATTCCCGAACATGATTTTCAATCCTCTGAACTATCCGCCCTCCTCCTGCACCCTTCCCCTTGTTTATGCTGAGAGTGAGAGTGGGCCTTTGCCGGAGTGACCTTTGGTGCGGGCCCACAGGGGTCCTTGCAGCACTGGCCTGCGCACTTGGTGTTGCCCCGCAGCGGCCCTCTGACGCCGCCCACCCAAGATCACTCCCGCGTAAGGTCAGCCGTGCGTGTAGCCGATGGATCGCCCCCCCCCCCCCCTCCCTTGGATCTCCTCGATCCTCGAACGAACAAGTACCCTCGACCTTCGAGAACGATCATCGCACAATACGTTCGACCCTCTGTCTCAGAGCAATGCGTTCTTCCCTCTAGCAGTATCGCCAGCCAAGATCATCGACCCTCGGAAAACGTAAAGTCGACCAGGTGTTGCCAAGAGCGTCCCTGGCCCAACGTGCCCCCAGGAGTCCCGAGGCCCCCACGGCCTCCAGAGAGGACCCCTCACGAGGCCTGGAATGCCCAAACGTTCCAACATGGCACCACAAGGTGGAGTGGCCAGGACCACCTCTGGACATCTACTCGGGTGCAGCTCTCAGGAGGCTTAAATTCGGTATCGGCGCTGGTATATCCGCTGTCGAACAGTGTCCTACTCCGGCTTACTGTTGTGGCAATCTGGTTCATTCCCGTGCATTCTGGTTTAATATTGAATTTCATGTGACCTCATTTGGCTCAATGGCCCCTTGAGCGGGTATCCCTTACTCGTTCTCGCAAAGCTTCCTAGGAGGTGCCTCCTAATACCTCCGTCTTGATCCCCCTGCCGCCCCCCCTCTCCCCTGGATCGCCTCGACCCCCGGTCATCGAGCAAACCATGAGTTTCGAAAAAGATCATCGACCCTCGAATATAATCTGTCCTCGACCCGCGAAATAGGGATCTTCAAGCTTCGAGCAATATGTATTTTGATCTTCGGCGACAGAAACCCCCGAAAAGGGCCTTTGATCCGCGACCCCCACCCCCCCACAACGAAAAGGTCCTGGGCCCTCGAAAGAAGTCTCCATTCCTCTCCTCCCATCCCCTCCGTCCCCTGAATACGGCCACGCGAGCGAGTGACCCTTTGCTTGAGAGACCTTGAGTTCAGGAGGGAAAAACACACAGACACAATTAATCATCGATTCTCCATAAAATATGGGAAAATACGGGAAGTGGGGGGAAGACACTAACCCAGAACATATGGGAAACTATGGGGGAATCCTGTTATTTGTGTCTATTTATTTGTGTATCCCAGGGCCCCTTCATTGGTGCGGCCCACATGGGTTTCTGCAGCACTGGCCCGCGCTCCTGAAATTCGGCCTTTGCCGCGGCCCCCCTCAAGCCGCGCACCCAAGGTCCTTCAAGCCTGGGGTCAGCCATGCGAGCAGCCGATGGATCGCCCCCCTCCCTTGGATCACCTGGATCCTCGAACAAATACCCTCGACCCTCGAGAACGATCGACGAGCAAAACCGTCGCTCCTCGAAACATGTGTTGGCTGGGTGTTGCAAAAGTTCTTCCTGACCCCCAGGATTCCCGAGGAGGCCTTCATGGCACGGCCTCCAGAGCACCCCTCACGAGGCCCGGAGGGCCCAAGAGTTCCAAAATGGCACCACAAGGTGGAGGCACCTTTGGCCAGGACCACCTCTGGCAATCTACTCGGGTGCAACTCTCAGGAGCTTGAATTAGGTATCGGGAGTGATGTATGCGCGTTTGGAGAGCGTCCAATTCCAGCCAAATCTTTGTTAATCCGGGGCGCGAGGCCAACTTCCGAGGAGTTCCCACGAAGACCTCCGAGGAGTTGCCTTCTAACACCTCCGACTCGATCCCCCTCGATCCTCATCCCGCCCCCTCCCTGGATCGCCAGCCTTTCCCTGGATCACTTCGATCTTTGAAAGATACATTCTCGCTTCCCGTCCCTCGAGAATCAGAGTGAGGGGGCTGAACCGAACTGTCATTCACTGTCCCTGGGTGCGTGGCTGAAGTGGAATTCCGCGATGGGGATTCTCGTTGTTGTTGTGATAGTTGTGATTGTTGTGATTGTTATGTTTGTTGTTGTTGATGATGTTACTGATGTTATTGTTGTTGTTGTTGTTGGTATTGGTGTTGGTGTTGTTGTTGTTGATGTTGTGTTTGTTGTTTGTTGTTTGTTGTTTGTTGTTGTCGTCGTCCCACCCGCGACCCGCCCCGCGACCCACCCGCGACCCACCCCGCGACCCAGCCGCGACCCACCCGCGACCCACCCCCACCCGCGACCGACCCCGCGACCCACCCGCGACCCACCCGAGACTCACCCGCGACCCGCCCGCGGCCCGCCCGGCGACCCACCCGCGGCGACCCACCTGCGACCCACCCGCGACCCACCCCGCGACCCGCTCGCGACCCGCCCGCGACCCACCCGCGACCCACCGCGACCCACCCGCGACCCACCCGCGACCCACCCCGCGACCCACCCAAAATTTTCGGCGCCTGCGGCGAGTTTCTTCTGCATGCGTTCCAGGTGGAGAACCTGCGACCCACCCGCGACCCAAACCGCGCCCGCGACCCACCCGCGACCCACCCCGCGACCCACCCACAATTCTCGGCGCCCGCGGCGGGCTTCTGTTGCATTCGTTACCAGTGGAGAACCTGCGACCCACCCGCGACCCAAACCGCGTTCAGTGTACAAATCAAAATGTTCGGGGCCTGCGGCGGGCTGTTTTTCCTTACCTAGGCTCTGCCCAGAAGGGTTCTTACTTCATAAGCTTAAAGGGGCCGGGCAGTGGAACTCGCCCCGGGCGGTTCCCCCAGTATCCGCCCCGCGGTTCCCCCAGCTACGTCCCCTTAGCTTAGCGTTGCTTATCTCATCTTAGCTTAGCTTATTTCATCTTAGATTAGCTTAGCTTCATCTTAGCTCAGGCTCATCTTAACTTAGCTTACCTTCATCTTAGCTTCGCCGAGCCTTAGCAGAGCACAGCATAGCAGAGCGTAGCATAGCATAGCGCAGCACAGCATATCATAGCATAGCCCAGCATGGCATAGCATAGCGCAGCATAGCATAGCATAGCATAGCATAGCATAGCGCAAGTTTTTGGCGAGTATGCATAGCATATCATAGCCCATAGCGCATAGCATAGCATAGAGTAACATAGCATAGCCAATCATAGCATAGCATAGCATAGCATAGCATAGCGCAGCATAGCATCTCATAACATATCAAATCATATCATAGCATATCATAGCGCAGCTTAGCATAGCATAACATAACATAGCATAGCTTAGCATAGCACAGCGCATCATGACATAGCATAGCTCAGCATATCATAGCATAGGATAGCCTATCATAGCGCAGCATATCATAACATAGCATAGCATAGCACATCATAGCATATCATAGCGCAACATAGCATGGTATAGCATAGCATAGCATAGCATAGCAACTAATGCTGCTTTCCTAGGGGCTCCAAGTTCTAGGTAGGGTCGCACTGGGGTAATTGAATTCCTTCCAGGTGGAACTGGAGAGCCCGCGACCCACCCGCGACCCAAACTACGTTCACTGAACAAGCCAAAACTTCGGCGCCTGCGGCGGGTTTCTTTTGCATTTGTTCCAGGTGGAGAACCTGGAACCCCAACCGCGTTCAGTGTACAAATCAAAATGTTCGGCGCCTGCGGCGGGCTGTTTTTGAATTCCTTCCACTCCCGCGCCCGCGTCGCCCGCGCCCGCCCCCTCACTCTTATCCACAATTGCGGGGTGCTACGTATGCTCGACCCTCGAAAGGAAGCTCCTCGATCCACCTTTCATCTCCCAGAACCTTGAAGCCACGATTTTCTCACGACCTCGACCCCCAGAGGCCTCGACCCAATCCCCAGGAGTGGGTTTGTTCACCCCGAGGCCGAAGGTAGCAACAAAGTGAGGGTCTATGGGTCTCATCCCCCCCTCCCTTGGGGCCGCCTCCCCGCCGCCCTCCCCATCGCGCGCGCGGGGCCCGCTGGCCGGCGCCTGTCCTCCCTGCCCAGGGCTCCGTGCGCGGAGCCCGGCGACGGCGAGGCCGCATCTCGCGAGGGCTTGGGCCCGCCAGCTCCGCTAGAGGAGCGGTGCTTCTCCTTCTCCTCCTCCTCCTCCTCCTCTTCCTCCTCTTCCTCCTCCTCCTCCTTCTCCTCCTCCTCCTCCTCCTCCTCCTCCTCCTCTTCGTTTACAAGCCAGCGAGCCTCTCTCACGGGGCCACCTCGGAGCACACCCTTGAAGCTTCGAGATATGCCCCCTGCCGGCCCTAGTGAGAAGTCAGGGCTGTTGCACAACCAAATCTCAGGGGATTTTGCAGACGCGCACAAGGCACCAGTATAGGTGTGTTGACGTTGACCCCCTTGTGCGGATGTCCTGTCCTGTCCTCTTCCTCGTGGTTCTCCTCCTCTTTCCGCCAGAGCGCCCCGTGGCGCCAGCGATGCCCTCGAAGCGACCACAGCTGGGCCATACTGGCTGATAAGGAGGTCTGGGGGAGGGGGAAGAACCAGCTGCTGGCAACTGCGATGGATGTGAAGATGACGATGTAAGTGTCGATCGGTCGATCGATCTCACGATCGATCGAACTATCGATCTGACTACCGATGTCACCACACCTCTGTCTTTATCGATCTCACGACCGATCTCGCTATCGATCGGGACACCATCGGGACACACGGCGGGATACCGCGGGACACCACTGGACACCACGGAACACCGCGGAACACCACTGGAATACCTCGGGACACTACGTGATACCACAGGACACCACGAGACACCATCGGAACACAACGGCGGGACACCACGGGACACCATCAGGACAACGCGGGACACCACAGCGGGACACAACCAGCCACCGCGCGTCCACAGAGGGCCAGACTTCTGCATTCGAATCGCTGGCGACGGCGGGATCATCCCTCTCCCGCGCCCACGGCGAGACGCCGCCTAAAACCATCGGGACACCGCGAGACACCACGGCGGGACACCCCCAGCCACCGCGAGCCCACATGAGGGCCAGACTTTTGCATTCGAATGGCCCTATCGACGGCGGGATCATCCCTCGCGCGCGCCCACGAAGCTTCGCTTCGCCCGCACGCACGACACGAACACGAAACCGAAACTGATTTCCCGTTGGGGGGCTCCGTAACCCGCCGACATGCATGATTCACCTCGTCCGCCTCCTTCTTTTCCTGATGGTTTTGGCGTTGAGCGTGTTCCCGATCATGCTCCTCATCCTGTGTCGAGGCTGTCGGGTTCCTCGTGTTTCCCTGCTCCTCCTCCTCCTCCTCCTCCTCCTCCTCCTCCTCCTCCTCCTCCTCCTCCTCCCCCTCCTCATGAAGAAAACATGACGGGCGTTTGTCGGGCTCTGGGGACCCTCGCGGGCCCCCGGAGCCGTCAGAAAAGGATCCGGATGAACAAATTTTCTGGTCGAGATCTTTTGGGGTCGACGTTGCGAGAAAGCATGCTGTCGGGGGTTTCGATTCGGCTTCATCGTCCAAGGTAACGTATTCTGGCGTTTTCGCCAGCTCCTGAAGATTGCCCTGCCTCGGGGTGCGTTCCAGCAGCTGCTACCCGCCGAGAGCGTTCTGGGGGTGCCGGGATCGTCCCGAATGGGCGTCGGAGACCGGGTTACGATACCCAAACCAGACCATCTGCACGTAAGAGAGATCGATGCGGGTCACCGGGGTCCCCCCGCTCGCTGAGCGCGATGGGATAGTGGCTGCTCGCGCGCTTGGATTTGGCCACCTCGCGCCCCCTTGGTCCGTGCACCAGAGGCCACTGTTGCCCAGGGTCACTCTTGCGTATGGCGGAAGTGGCCCTTCGCCAGAGTGGCCGCGCCTCTGGTGCGCGGCTCTCGGGTGGGCGCAGACGTGGGCGGGCCGGGGAGGTGCAGACCCAGGCACGAAGGCCGCCACGCTGTCCCATCGCATGCCAAGGTCGGCATCGGTAATCCGCGCGCCAGAGTGCCTGCGTCGCTCTTGCGTGCAGCCGACAGTTCTTTCGAATCCCGGCCCCTGTTCCCCAATTCTGCAGGCCCTCCCCAGGGTCAGTTGTCGTGCCGCGGGGCCATCGAACATGATTCCGTGTTCGACAACTGGCTCAGGTGAGGGGGCTGGATTTTTGGGTCCATTCGAAGTCGGTACAATGCGGCTTCACTGATGTGCCTCGATGAGATGGCCAGTATGTGCATGTTTATGTATATCTATATATATGAGATATAATATGTATCTACCTGCATTCGCAGATTCACAAGGATACGCGAATGAGGTTCTTTGCGTATGGACTCGGGTGAATTCACTTGCATGGTGAGGGACGGGGGTTCGCGCAAAAGGACACTGGACTTCACGCATGTCTAGACTCACTTGCACGCAGTTTCGGCCAGGCGCTGCTCGAAATGGCGGCGGAAAATGAGGGGTGAATGCCATGCAAGGAAATTTGCCCGAGTCTGGATACAGACGCCCCCCAAAAGACTCCAAATGCAACCGTGTTCTCTCTCGTGCTGCACCTTGCCCGCCTTCCTTGTGTGGCGGCATCCACGTCTTGGCGCCAGCTGTGGAAGCAGGTGGTCAGCTCCCATCTTCCCCCCCTCCAGCACAACGAAACCTCAGATATCTCCCTCCGGCGCTTCTCCCCCGGGGCCCAGGGAGGAGGCCAGGGAAGGCCGCCCCCCCTCTTTTAAGCTGGAGGGTGGGCGAGGGGGCTGCTAGGGGGATACACCCATCTGACATCTGAAGAACACGCAGCAATCTTCATGGACTTCAAATTTGGTTTAAGAGAATCAAGATGGTCTGGACCCTGGGCGTTTTCTGTGAGCTTCTCTTCTTCGCAGGATGATCGTGTAATCGTATACCTGGGCCTGGACTGTTAATGAAACGCCTAGCGTGAAGTGTTTTTTCTTAGCCTAGCATGTTCTCAACTCTGAGCAGGATGCAAGGGGGACTTACCAGTGGATGCCAAGTGTCGGCAACGCGCAGAAGGGGGCAGGGGGAGGGGGGAAGGCTTCGCAGAAGGCCAGGGCCTTCTAAGGAGCAGCCCCCTTCTAAGAGGCCTTCAAACATCCCCCTACCCCCTTGTCCGCGCCGCAATAAGGTGGGTCAGATCCGGCAGAGCCTAGCTTATAAGTGTTGTAGCCGTTAAGTGGGCTCCGCCCACTTAACGGAAGTATCGACTCCCCCTAAGCCACTAAAGGCATATGTAACCCATGTATAAGCTAGGTTAGATCAGATATATCCCACCTTGGCATCCATTGGTACCCCCGTATCCTCTCAGCAACCCCGGTGCCCATCCCAGCAGAGAAGGAAGAGAGCGAAAGTCGACGCACGTGCAGTTTAAGGGAACCATTTGGTTATGTTAGATTTTGCCCGCTCGGACCTCGATTCTGGTCGTGTGCGCGCGTAGCCACGACGAGTGGCGCCTCCTCCTACGCCCGCCTCCCCCGCTGTCGGGGTTTGAGCGTCGATATTTTTTGTTCCGCTCCAGGAGGGATCTTGTTCTTGCGATGCAGGCCTCTCTTAGCGCAGGGGGTCCTGAAATCGAAGAAAAAACGCATGCATAAATATCAACTTTCGGAGTTGCTCGTGGATTTCCTGGATCGGCGCTGGGCCCTTGCTTGCGGCGCCTCTGGCGCCGCCTCTGGCCCTCTCTGCGCGCTCCGCGCCGATCCACGAACATGGCGCAGAGCTCCGAAAGTTTATGCATATGCTGGTTCTCTGTCCTCTGTCAAATGTACGCTAGGTGGGGCAAGGTACCAGTGACGAGGTCATCAGGCCTTGCCCATCTGAACAACAAATAAAGGGGAAGCCGGCCAGCTCCAATGATCTCCGCCCTGTCCGGTACTACAGCCACGGGTGACCGGACGCTGAGCGCGTCGCTCACCCCGACGTCGAGGTGATGAGCGTGCGTTCGTTATAGATAGAGCAATTCCATTTGCGCTTGTCCTCCTCCTCGTCCTCCTTCGTCTCAATCTGCCTTTTTTTCCCCGCTGCTCGTTATCCGCTCTGCTGCACCCCCCCCCCGCCCCAGCCATCCGCAGGAGGGGAAACAAACACACGTAAACGTAAATCGCCAGGAACGGATGGAATATATCAGAAATTGGTGGCGAAGACGAACATCCAGAAAATATCAAAAGTATTGGGACTCTTGGGATTTGTATATATATATATATATATATATATATATATATATGCTCGTGTGCCCCTGGGCCACCGCAGCACTCCCCATGTCCCCTCAGTTCAAGTTCCTCTCCCACCCTGCCCCGTCTTTCCCTTCCGCTCCTCTTCCCCTCCTCCTCCTCCTCCTCCTCCTCCTCCTCCTTCTCCTTCTCCTCGTCCTCCTCCTCTCACCTCCCTCCCCCCTCCTCTCCGCCTCCTGCTCCTTCCTCCTCCTCCTCCTCCTCCTCCTCCCCTCCACCTCCTCCTCCTCCATCCCCCCTCCCCCTCCCCTCCTCCTTCTCCTCCTCCTCTTCGCACCGCATTGGGGGCCGATTCCGATTCCGACTCCTTCTGCCTCCTCCTCCTCCTCCACCTCCTCCCCTCCTCCACCTTCCTTCTCTCCTCTACTTCTTCTCCTCATCCTCCTCTTCCTCCCCCTTCCTTCCCCTCCTCCTCCTCCTCCACCTTCCTCCTCCACTCCCGCGTCTTCCTCCTCCTCTCTCCGTTCCCTTCCCCTCTCCGTTTCTCATCCCTCCTATAGTCCTCATCTGCCTCCCTCCCGCCCTAGCCCACGGCACATCCTTGTCCCTCCCCTCGCCTTTCCCCTCCCCGTTCCCACTCCCTCCTCCCTTCCGCCTACCTCCTCCACCACCTCCTCCTCTTACTTCCTCCTCCTCCTCCTCCTCCTCCTCCTCCTCCCCCTCCTCCTCCTCCTCCTCCTCCTCCTCCTCCTCCTTCTCCCCCTCCTCCCTCCTCGGCTGGTCGGGGTCCTCGTCACCCCGCAAGTACCCCCAGTCATTCCAGGAGCAAGTGCAAGCCAGGCTCGACGCTCTCAACTCCGACGTGCAAAGCGACCTCCGCCAGGCCCAGAAGGCGTTCCACTCCAGCATCAGAAAGGTACAGTAGAGATTTTTCCGCCAGCGAGATGGAGGTGACGGGCCT